AGGTGTTACATCGTGCATGATTCATAGATTCAGTATTCTATTTCCGGGGAGGAAAGACAATCAGACTAGGAATATTCAGATTTGGGTTGATGGAGTAGCAAGGCTTGGTATTTTTTAGCGTGGTAGAGTTCTCAATTGTGATGTGGTTTCATCGTCCTTGTTGAACGTGTTATGGTTCGCCGATGTTGTGGCCTTATTCAATTTGCCTTCGGGGCAGGGTATTGTGAAATAGTGCTTGAGATACGGTTGTCATTATGGGTTGTATAATAACTTTTACTACAATGCTTACACTTTGCTTTAGCCCCATCAGAGTCAGTATATCTTTCAAAAGTTTTCAAACGGTCGATCAAGATTTCACGAGTTCTCTTTTCTTTGATGATGGATACAAATGTGAGATGTGTATCTTAGGACTATATTGAAAAAGGTCAAATACCCGTTAAACTTGTCAACATTTTTTATTTAGACACCTGAACCATGGATAATACCTATCGAACACTTCAACTCCAACCAAATTATTCCTATTAGACACAAAACTAACAATCTCTCACCAAAATACAATGCGTGATTCACACACGCTGTGACATGGAAAATAAACGAAATACAAGATGACATATGGAAATTAATACATAAGTTGTTCTCCATATTGGGAAATTGTTTCTTACCCTCTGCCTTGTCTTCTTCGTTTCACTCACAACGAGACCCACCACCACAGCCCACCATTTTCTTCATTTTCCAGCCATTATTAATCGCTATAATCACAACAACCCTTCATCATTTTCTTCATTTTCCACCACAAGTCCATCACCCTATTTCACAAAATAGGTGTTGTTTTGACATATTGCTGATTCACCGCTAAAATTATTGTAGAAAAACGCATCAAACTGAGACAAAATTGTTCTTGAAGGCAAAATGCGGAACACCAAGAAAAAGATTAATTATTCGACAATTCCATAGGCACAAAGCTTGACTGAATTTGGTTGCAGAGCTAATTAAAAGAACTGGTTCAATAACTTATGGTTGAACCTAAAACATTATTTAACGGGTATTATCGAACTATGGTGGGCAACGAGGTGGGACTCTACTGGTTTGAGTGTTATAAAATATAGAAAAAATATTAAAACTTTCAAGGCCTTCATCATCATCCATAGTAGTAGAAGTGGTACAATGCATAGTGGGATTAACATCGCCTACATTAAGAGTAGCATCATTAAATATATTTGCATAATAATTATATAATTGTTGTAAATAATCATTTAGCTTGTTCATACAAACATATATATCTGAGGTTTCAGTTGGTCTAATCTCCATATAAGTATATAAAGCATTGATTAATTGGTGACAATCAGACATCTTAATAGAAGGATTTAAAACAACACCAATTAAGTAAATCGGAGGAATTGAAAAGAAATATTTTTTGAATTTTGCTTACATTTTTTCAACAGCATCTTTATATTTTTCTTTCTTTTTAAATTCACAGATTAGAAAAGAAATTTCAGCTATACGTACTAAAGCCATAGTAACAGTAGGGTAATATGCGCGAGAAAACTCAACAGTAGTTGTATAAAATTTATGTAAAAATTTAACAACATTAATGGCCTCCCAAGTAGTAGTTGTTAATATATGGTTTGGATCAGTATGCGCATTACCAACTTCAGTTATTGGCAATCTATATTTGTAGCAACATTTTAAAAATAAGTATGTATAATTCCATCTAGTAACAATTTCGTCTGGCATGAATCTGGGCTTAAGGTTATGCTTGGTACATTTATTCTTAAATTCCCTAATTCTTGATTGTCTATTATTTCCTTGAATAACACCAACTTCTCTTTTAACATGAATAATCTCAGTTGAAATAAATCAAGGCCACTTTTAACAATTAAATTATAAACATGACATGCACACCTAATATGAAATTTTTCGTCAAGTGTTGGTTGCAAATGCAGTTTTAATATTGAAATTGCGGCATTATTGTTAGAAGCATTATCAAAAGACATACATAATACTTTTTTCTTAAGATTATAAAATTCAACAACTTCGCATATAGTAGTACTTATAAACACATCAGTATGACTCTGATCTTCATCATATTTAAAAGCGATAATATGTTTTTGCATACAATAATTATCATCTATCCAATGACATGTAATTGTCAAATAATTATTTCCATTAACAGCATGGCCAATATCAGAAGTTAGAGAAACTTTACAAGGGATGTGGTCAAACAAATAACGTATGTATGTTTGATATTGTCCATGAAATCTAAAGATATCATATCTACAAGTACTTCTAGGGATACCTTTAAATAAAGGATTATAAATCCTTTGAATATACATAATAAGATATGATGAAGAAGCAACAAAAAAAAAGGTAGACAACCCAAAGCAATCATTTTTGCTAACTCCTCATGATCCTTCATTTTATCATATTTCATAAGTCCTCCAGTAGTAGGGTTTAGAGTTGCTTGATTTTGATCTAAATCAGAGGCACATTCTATAGGATGCTCAATTCTTATATGTCTACTAAGTATCCCAGTCCCCCCTAATTGTCCTCCAGTATTATGTTTAAAATCATCATTACAAAGTATGTATTTAACTCTATCAGTACCTACTATTTCGTCAAAAAAATTTCAAACCTTATTTTTTTTCTCCGATTTGTAGTCGCCACAGGCGATCTACTACTAGCACTACGACCGCCACCTCTGCTACCAACTCCAGCACTATTAGGTGTAAGTGATGTCTCATCTTCAATTTCTAATTCATTATCTTCTATATTGAAATCTTCCTGTAATTATTCATAATCTATATTATTATCAGGCTATTTCAGTAACATGTGTATAGTCATTTAAATTACTACCAGATGTTGAAGTAGTACCTCTTTTTCTATTTTCCCGATTACCCCAATTAGTAACCTTACTACAAACTCTTTTTGCAGCATTAAATATATTGTAAAAATTTAACTACTAGCAAAAATTAAATATGCAAATAAAATAGTAAAAAAGTGAAAGAGTTGGAGGGAGTGCACCAAATTCGACAGTAAATTGAACACCTGATGATTTCACAACTCCAATATTACCACGATGTCATTGGTCAAAGTTTGAAGTTCAATTGTTCAAACTTCAAATAATAAATAATACGATAAATTAAATTTCAAAAAAAATGAGAGCCAAATAGTTGATTGCACTTTAGGTGAAGAATGAGAGAATGATAATTGAAAATATGACTTTGAGAAATGACAGATGAGTAAAGAAATGAAGAAGAGGGGGGAGTGTACTTATAAGTTTTCAAAGGGCTAAACTAGTAATTACAAAAAGTGTTATTTTTTAAAAAAAAATTGCCCAAAAAAGGGCTATTTGTGCAATCCAGTCGTTGGGCGACGACCAAAAGCCAGCTGACCGTTGCCAACGGTCTAAAACGTTTAAATTTTTTTTCCAGAAATCTGGCCGTTAAACCGGTCCGGTCCGGGCCAATTAACCGGTTCAATAAGAATTTTAGTTGTCCGAGTTTGACCAGTCCGGTTAACCGGATCTATTTAGGTGAACGGACCAACCCCTAACCCAGCCCACCCGCCCCCCTAACAACCAGTCCGGACCGATCCGGAAATGGGTCAACCTAGCCCTTTTGACACCCTTAGAAGAGAGAGAAAGAAGCAGATGAAGGTAAGAATATGTGGAGTCTTTTCACGCGCTCAACATAAGTGTAATACACACAAGGTGCCATGTGAGCAATTTGTGTCTAATAGGTATATTTTAACTTAAATTAAGTGTGTAAGTGTTTAAATGAAAAATTCAAGTTTAAGGGGTTATATGTGTATTTGACCTATTGAAAAGGTATGTGGAGTACTTCAATCACGAGAGAACAAGTTTTAGTATACTATTGTGTTTGTTTGTATATATAAATTTTATTAATATTAATTTTGGGCTCCAACGCAAGTAATATAAGAAAGTATGCATCACAAAATAATCAAACAAAAATAAATAAATCCATGGCCCCGGCAACGAAGTGAATCCAGGCATGCTCATCAATTAAAGAAAATTAGTTCTCCATTTCACATCTCAATCTTAGAGAAACAGAAATGATTTATTTGAATGCACTACTACCATAACCTTTGCAACTAATTCAAGAAGTAGAAGTTGGTGCATGGTGAGTGACAGGAATTCTGTAGTTGAAACTTTTGATGAAAGCTTGCAACTAAAATATTAAGTAGTAAAAATGAAGAATGAAATGTTAACTAATTACCTATAGTAAGTTATATCCTATAACTCAATACAACGAGACTAGTCAGTAAAAATGAAAAAACACTGAAACAATAGCTCCCTTATTTTATTTTTTTAAGGTTTTCCTGAAAAACGGCGTGCTAGTGATGCTTTGGGAAAGTGAGGACTTTCTAAGTTGCTAATCTTATGATTGATCTTTGAGGATTGCTTCTCCGTAACAAATGTATTCCTCCTCATTTTTCAATAACACATCAAATAGGTTTGGACCTTTTTGCTTGAATTATTTGTGATCTCGATTTTTTTTTAAATTCGAAACCAAATAAAAAATCAATTCAAAATTTTCTATTTTATAAAAAATTTATTTAATTTGGTTTTAGGTTTATAAAAAAAATGCCCACCCCTAGTTAAAAGTGTAATTTTTTTATTAAGATAGTATCTGAAGTTATGAATAAGGCATCAGATACAATATTTTAAAATATTGGATATTTTATTGATTTAAAGTGGGTCTTCTTTTTGGTTTTTTTGTTTCAACAAAGTGGGTCTACTCTGTAACGAGCCTTTCAAATTACTACCGCTTGGGCCTAAACTCCTGAACCGCCAGGAAGAAGAAGCACACCCGAACCCCCCTTCTAACTAGGCAGAAGGATTGAGATTTTCAATAATCCTTTTAGTTGTTTTAATTGGTACAATTGCTCTAGCTCGTCAATAAAAAAATTCTATTAAAACTTGAAATTCAAATTAAATTTTGTTCAGTCTTATTACATTCATATTCCTTCAATTCTATATTCATATACACAACTAAATAAAATAAAAATAAAGAATTTCTACTATTACTAGTACGGAGTACATGTTATTTGGGTGTCTTTTCTTAATTTCGACCTGTCAAATTAATTTTATTGAGAGAAAGAGGTCGCTGCCTGTTTGGCACTGTTAAAAAGAGCGGGAGAGAGGACCGGCAATGGAGGACGACGTGGAGATGGCTGCGTCAGAAAACGGCGCCGTGGTGGTTCGTCTGTATTCGGGCTTTTGTTCCTTCGGTTTTGTTCAATTCTTCAGTTCATCTGTTGTTTTTCTTGTTTCCTGAAACCCTAATTCATGATATTCGCACTTATATGAATAATAATAAAAATAATAGTAATGATGTGTGTAAGCAGGAATTGGATGACATGAAGAAGAGATTGAAAGAAATGGAAGATGAAGCGGCTGCTCTCCGTGAAATGCAGGCCAAAGTCGAGAAAGAAATGGGTTCTGTTCAAGGTCTCCCTCTCTCTCTTTTGCTCTGTGTGTGAATTTGATTTATTACTGAAATTCTCGATACATATATTGATTATTCGTGTGTGATTTTTCTAGTGGACAATTATGGGCCTGTAGAATGGTTTTTTAATTATATTTATTTGTGGAAGAGGTAGCTAAACTGATCTTATTACATGGTTCTTATTACTTTATAGATCCTATTGGAAGGTGGGTGTGTGATATACATGTAAATACTTGGGTGGAGGGTGTCCAAGCAAGGTCTCCCTCTCTCTTTGAAATATTATGGAAAAAATTTGTTTCTTGATTGATAAAATAGATGCTTTATGCTAGTATTTTCATTTTTCAAGTAGACAATTCTTTTATGTGTATAAGATGATTTTGGTTTATATGTACTTGTGGAAGAGGTAGCTAGATTGATCTTATTATGTACTAGTTGTTATGAACTTAAGTCCTGTTGGGAATTAAAACAGGGTGGGTAAAATATAATTTGAAGCTTTTTTACGTAATATGATGAGTTAGCTGCCTGTAGCGCCTGGAATTTCTGTTTTGCAAATAAATAATGAACCGGAAAGGATAGTCTTTAGCTAGCCAGACCAGCACGTTAGATAAAAGCCTTTTAAAATATTAGTCCATTATAGCAAAGGGTGGAGTAGCAATAAAATCTATGTTGATGCTATCTTGTCTGTTTACTTGAAGTTGGTATGTCCTATTGGGGGCATAAGTGGCAAACTAGCTTTTTGTTTGTTAAAACTAACAAAACTACAACCTTAGGTTAGATATGCTGATATAGATGGTGTTCAATTATCTTGCTTTTTGTTCTGTTGCGTAAGGAAGGTTCTATTAATATTATCAACGACAAACAACAACAACAACAACCCAGTAATAATTCCACAAGTGGGGTCTGGGGAGGGACCTTACCCCTACCCCTTGGGGTAGAGAGGCTATTTTCGGGAGACTCTCGGCTCAAAGACTCTACTAATATTATTCATGGTGTTATTTTTGTCAATAATCAGTACTAATCAATATTTGTTTGCACCTCGTTACCTTTTAAGATGTTTAATTATGATGACAGTGTGGGTGCAAGTAATATCTTGTTTCTTTCTAAAGCTTCAATGATGTAACTTGTGCCTCTCTTTCAAAACTATCTTTAACCCTTTTAACTTTGAATTAAACAATTTTAAAATGGCACTCTCTTCCTTTACATATTGAACTTTGAACCCAAATTTCAAAAGAGAGCTTCATCTCACTTTGTTTGGATGGTCTCGAGGATGTGCAATGGTTGGTTTATGAATGCTGTTTACATTTATATTTGTCAGATGCTTATCTCTAACAGTGAAGAAAGCATAAGTAGTCACGATCTCTGTTTCTCCTTTTTGTTGCATTTTTATTTAGTTTTTCACCTTAATTGAAGACAGACCCTGCTGCTGCTGCAAATCAGGCAAACAGGGAAGAAGTGGATTCTCGGTCTGTTTTTGTTGGAAATGTGAGACTTCTGCTTACTAAAATATATGATTCTTTAGTTAAATATCATCTTAAGCCTCTTCTGCATTGCAACTGTTTATTATTTACATCTGATTTTTTGTGTGTTTCATATCAATTGATGTTGCATCTTGAATTCTTCTTGGACATATGTGGAAATTAGTATTTTTGAGTTTAATTGGAAAACATCACTTCGTTGATTCCTGAAGCACAAAATTCAAATGCGATTATACTTTGGATTTTATCCTCCTGCTTTAATTTTTTTATTTAAGATCTATACTTTCTTTTGCTTTCTTTTTTCCTTAGAATGGATGTCTGCTATTGTTTTCATTTAAATATAGCTTTTCTGGCCCAAATTAAGTGGTGTATGGAATCATAGGAGACCAGTTATGCAGAAGTGGGACTACTACTCTTACTTTCGTGATATCTGTCATAGTTGGAAAACTGTCTTTTTAATCAATCTTTCGTATTTGCCAATGTATTTCGCTTGCATAGAGCTATTTGAGAAATCTGAAGGGGATATCGGATGTAAAAAATTATTATCAAAAGTAGAATCATAATCAAGGAACATGTGAGCATCTGGCTCTTGATGGCTATAGAGAAGTGTGAATATAGCTACAACTTATTGACTATTTAGCATTGAAATGAATCACAAAGATTGACTCGGGATGTATTTGTTATGCTACAAACTATAGATAAGAAAGCAGAATCAATACCAATGATCGCAAGACCAGAATTCTAGGGTGAAAAAGGAGCAGAAATCTAGGGAGAAATTAACTCACAGTTGTAGAGACTGAAAGGAATTAAGACGACAGTAAGGAAAGGAAGATGTTAATAGAAGCATGAGAAAAGGAGTGTAGTGAGCATGTTTCTACTCAAACTTCTTTTCTCATGTTTCTAATTCATGAACAATTGTTTCTATTAGGTTATAAGTCTTACCTTGATAAAGTACCTTTTAACAATCAATAGCTTAACAAAAATATAACCATTGGAGATCAGGAATTGTATGAACTGATATGTAAAGGTTGAAAGTGAAAAAGTTGGTGGATGTGTGGGAAACTAGTGTTGCTATAGATTTAGTTTGGTTTAGTTTGTAGGTGTTGCAGTCATCAATTTTGTTTGGATAAACTTTGTTTTTACTAAAAGAAAGGATGGCAAGAAAAAGATAGAGATTGAAAAAATAAACATAATTAGATGTCCTTGAACTACGTATGGAAGAACTGGAGGTGATAGTGGTCTTGACGCGTACTAGATCTAGCTTGAGAGGCATTTGATATTTCTTCAGAGCTTGACTTACTAGTGTCTTGGTTCCATTAAAATCATAATACCAGTATGATTTAACTATTCTGGGAAGTTCAACAAGTTAGAATTAGCTTGTGGAGATGATACTTTTCCATGTTGTAATACTCTTAACGGTGGCTTTGTTGTTTTTCTTTCTCTAGCTCTATTTTTTATTCTGTTCAGTTCTTGATTTAGTAATTTTGAAGCTACTTGTGGGTTCTTTTTTCATTATTTTTCATTTCCAATGGATTGAATCAAATTGGTTTAATGGGAGCGTAACAGAAACCTATGTAGTGGTAAAGAACAACTGTAGCTTTAAGCAAAGATCATATCTCACTTATTACCAATTGAGACATCAGATTACGCTCCTATTTATATTCCATGCATTATAATTTGATTTTGAAGGACTGTAATCATTAATAATCAATAATGTACTTGGCTGTCAATCAATTTTTTTGGGGATAAATCTAGTTGGCTTTCTGTGAATTAGTACTCCTATTTTTGTGAGATCCAATTAGAATATAGAAATGGTTGAAAAACCTTTGTGATTATTTGACTGATATTCAGCAGTTTAAGTAAATATCTGGTCTGGAATGCACATGTAATTTTGATGAACCTGCTCCTGGTAATAATAATGACAGTTGGGGAAGGAATCTCCAACCATAGTTGCTCTTACTGTAGTTATTGCAATTTGCAGTTAAATATTTCTTTTGGTGAGGTCAAACAATATGATGATTTACCACTATTCTGTTTGGTTTCTTTTCTTTGAGTGGGTGATGGTGAGGTTGCAACTTTTTGTTGGTTTAATTTACTAAGCATGTCAACCAGGTGGTTACTTTCATTTGGACTTTTCTACAGCCAGTTTGACCTTTGGTCCAGTCTGAGAGTATCTCTTGTGTGTTCATCTGCGGTAATGAGTTTGAGAGGCTAAACTTGTTTTTATAGGTGGATTATTCATGCACTCCAGAGGAAGTGCAGCAGCATTTTCAGGCATGTGGGACTGTAAATAGAGTTACAATCCGAACTAACAAGTTTGGGCAACCTAAAGGGTATGCTTACGTTGAGTTTCTTGAAACGGAAGCTGTCCAAGAAGCTCTTCTTCTGAATGAATCTGAACTTCATGGCCGCCAACTTAAGGTCAGCCAGTTAGTCCCCTAAACCCACTTTGTTTATCCGGTTGATACATTTAAAAATATAAGTTCATTTCATTTCCGGCTTCCTACCCTTTCTCAATTGTGATTGCAAATGTTGTATAGGTATCAGCAAAGAGGACTAACGTACCTGGTATGAAGCTGTATCGTGCTAGGCGGCCCAATCCTCCCATGGGATTTCGAGGCCGGACACCATTTATGGCTGCTCCGTATTTTTTCCCTCCTTATGGATACGGGTAACAGTAATCGTTTTATACTTTTACAATAACTTGTGTTTGCTGAACACTCCCAATATTTATTAAATTTGTGACATTATTTTATTATTTATGCTGCAGAAAGGTTCCAAGGGCTAGGGCGCCAATGCGTTACAGCCCCTACTTCTGAGACAGCATTTCCTCTGAGACAGACATATACATATCTCTGGATGGTGGGATATTTCATTAAAAGCAGTAGCTTCTTATCCCCTGTATGGCAAATTGCCTTTCAGAATCTTATTTATCCTGAAATCCATTTTCAACTGGGCTTTGTGGCAAATATTGTGATCATGAATCCTGTTGATGTTGCGTCCTTAGAATTCAAGAAAAATATGCATGTTTCAAGTCTCCTATATTGTTTGCATTCTACCGGGGGGGTGGGGGTTTGGGAGAGAGAAATCCTTGTACATATCTTTTCTCTGGAAGTTTTGGACCATTATTGTGTTTTTTGGAGCTCATTTTCTGGTCTATAGGGTTTTGGGTTGCAACCAATCTGGCGAAGGGAGGCCTATTTGATGGAGGTTGAATGCGTTTGATATTATGATGGCAAATAATAAAATTTGTCATTGAGTAAGCGACATCACAATTGTCTAACCTGAAAATAAGAAGAAATTATCGACCAACTGGACTTTTTTAATGCGCGTATTCCTAATTATATTAGCAGTTTAGTAAACTTAAATAATTTACAAATGCATACTTTTAATTGCATCAATTTCTTAAATTTACCTTTAATGCATAACTTATTCGGATTTCGGAATCAGTCGAATATAAAAGCTCACCCTTTTAACTATGAGGAGACGTGTGGAACTCTCATCACTTTTATTTGTAACAAGGGATTTTTGGTACTTCCATAAATTTAGCTTACGTTAACAATCTTCCTTTACTTCTTTAAACGTTGTGTGGGATCAACCATTGTTACATAATATCCAGGAATATAAAGAACGCTATCTCTTTGTTTGTTGTTAAAAGCGTGAAGAACTGAATGTTTCAGCTGATATGATTCTTTTCTTGAAGACTTTATATCAACTGTGGTGGTGGCGCAGTTGGCTAGCGCGTTGGTCTCATAGCTTCTGAGTAATCCTGAGGTCGAGAGTTCGAGCCTCTTTCACCCCATTAATCATTTTGGAAGATCTTAACAACGTCAAGATCAGATCTTTCTTGTGTGCTGTTGATATTGCTTCCCGTTGGTTTTCACAACATGATCAACTAGTTTATCCAGCGTCAATGATCGAGGTGCTTTTTGGTTTCAAATCAGACGCAAAGAAGGAAAGAAAACACAATAGAAGTAATGACAATTTTATTTTTCCATTTTGCTAATAGCTTATATATCAGGTATAAAAGAGGGAGGAAAAATCAAGAGCATGAAAAGGGAAGTTGTCAAAAAAGAATATCCATTTACATTTCAGATGCAGGAAATATCTGTGAACTAGAAGATGAGAACAGAAAAATAGATGCTCAAAATCTAGTATAAATATTGGATCACCATCCTTTCTTCCCAGCAATTTGCTCAGAGTAGGTATAGAACGTAACACAAAATTAACAAAGACGTACGAACCCTGGTGGTCGGGAGGGAATGCCAATAAAATAGGATTCCGCGCGTCTCCTACTGCTTAGCCTTGTTTAAATTGGCCCGTTCATCAATCAGTTCTCTCTTTTTACTACTCAACATTTCAGAATCTCCACTTGCATTTTAACCAATTGATCACCTCTCATGTTACTCAGAAAAGGCACACCTTTTTTTCCCTCGTCGTGTCTTGTATTGTCTTATGTCTATGGCAGAGTACCAGATGAAATATTTAGATCAACCATTTTCACGACGAATCCATTACTTAAATGGTCACTTAACTATTCGAAATTATCTTGTAAAGTCATCGTACTTTCGTTTGTAACAAAAAAGTCACTTAACTATGCCTGTAGCACTTAGAAAGTCACTCAACCAAATTTCTCAAACTTTTGATTGTCAAATACCTATTTTACCCTCTAAATTATTGACTTTTATTTTCTTCTTTTTTTTTTTACTTCTTTTAGTATTATGATTTTTTCTTTTTTTTTTTAATCAACATTATAGACTTATCTATAAAACAAATAAATTTTATTTACAAATAAAATAAAATAAAAAAATATTTTTCTAGCATATATAATTTCTATTGTATATCATAATTGAGCATAATTTTCAAAAATACATAATGTATATTATAAAAATATCTTTATTTTAAATAATTATTTTCTATAGTACGTGCATGGAATATATTTTTTAAAATTTTTATTTTATTTTATTCTCAATTGTGTAAATAAATTTTTGAGTTTTTGTTGTTAATATCAAAATTATTATAACGAATAAATTGTTTTAATTAATTTTCTACTATGCTCAATATTTTATTATTCCAGCATTAGCTTAAATAGTATTTTTATTTTTTAAATTTATAAATAAAAGTTTATTTATTCTAAGGTAACTCCATAATATAAATTAAAAGGATAAAAAATTATAATATTTAAAAAGCTAAAAGAAAATAAAAAGAAGATAAAAAGTGATAATTTAGAGGGTAAAATAAGTATTTGGCGATCAAAAGTTTGAGAAATGTAGTTGAGTGACTTTCTGAGTGTTATAGGCATAGATAAGTGACTTTGCCGTTTCAAACGAAAGAAAAATGACTTTAGTAGATAATTACGGATAATTGAGTGACCATCTAAGTAATGAACTCCTATTTTCACCTACTTTAGGAACCTTTATCGATGTTCCCTAATAATATAAGAAACATTGAAAGTGTAGATGATTATTGTGACGTGTCGCTTTAGTAAAGGATTTGGAATGTATAATTCATGTATAGTATGTTCATTCATATATAATCTATATATTTATACTAATTAGAAAAAATAAACAGTAAATATATACCAATTAAAAAAAGAAAACAATAAATCTTATCGGCTATTTGTATAAGGAGCCCATTTTTTATTATCACAAAAAAGATATCCTGAGCCTCCACTTCTCCTGTGTTGTCTTCGGACCGAACCTTTAGGGAACTTTCAAGTGGAGTCGCTGGGACTTCTTCACCCAGCCATCACCTCTAGACTTGGTGCAAATTTTTGGTTTCATTTTTTAGTGAAAGATACCCTACTGCAATTTTTTTTTTTGGCAGCTACAATATGTTGTTGTGCAAGTAAGGAATTAAGACGACAGTAAGGAAAGGAAGATGTTAATAGAAGCATGAGAAAAGGAGTGTAATGAGCTACAACTAGTATCTACAATGTATCCATAAGGGGTTCGAGAGTCTTATTTATGGGGAGAATTTGTGAGACAAGTGTTATGCTGTCACTTGTGTGTGCCTCTTTGTGAGGTTGTTCTGTCGTTATTTTGTACACCGTCACACATGTGTTGCTCCCAAATGCACACGTAAGTATATGTGGTCTACAAGTAATATATGATTGTAAGTCCAGATATCATACACACGGAGACTTGTGATTAACTATGAACTAAATTAAACCCAAACAATTAATCTATTCAAGCAATTTTCTAAAGTATGAATATTTAACTAAAACTAATCTAGAGTAACAAACTAAGAGATTAAAGGAAACAAGTTGTCGAAATTAGACACAAATTCAATGGGAGCCGATATTCTAGAGCCAAGGGTTAGCTAACAATCCCGTTGAGTTTTTCACTTAAATTGTCTAATTAATTTATCTTGTTTATTGATTAACATGGTTAATATTACTCGTAGTATTCTTCCGAAGGACTACTTGCCTATTCAAGCTAACCTAACGCCTATATTCCTATAGAATTAGGATTAACAAGAACGCATTAATAATTCCCGTATAATAACCAAGTAAGGCGATTAGGTATATCCCAATCCTAACCGCAAATCTGTTTTTCGTAGTTCAGGTTCAAGATATCGCTCTACTCAATCTTATATGCAATCTAGAATTCCCTCTCCCGAGTTCAATCCTAGATACGCAGATAGTATTTAAATTGGTGATCAAGCAATCAATTAATTAAGCACAAGATTGAATAAATAAACCAATATGATAAAATAATAAGAATAATTCAAGCTTCAAACTACAACATTCATGTAGCACCCCACGACTCTAGAACTAATAAACTATAAAGTTAAAGGAAGAGAAGATAAAGAAAAACTGAGAATCCTTGCTCCTGAATGTTCCGTGCGTGTATTTTCCTCTCAAAGTGGTGCCCCCTCCAAAATAGGTTTAAACTTGATTTTATACGAGTTGGGAGCGTCTTGGGTTAAAATTACCTTGTCTCGGCGAAGTAGGACAACTTCCCGTCACCCAGTGCCCAGGGTAGCGTGGGACGCTAGCCCTGGCACTGGGAATTTTGGCACTTCTGGAAACTGCGCCACAGGTAGCGCCCCATGCTACCCTGGGTGATACACTGTCCAAATTTTTCACTTTGTTCCCTTTTTGCTTCAAACCGTGCACATTCGTCCCACATTGCCTCCTGATGATTCCTACCCATAAAATTATCACGAATTAGCATAAATTATTACATTACACATCCAAAATCTACAAAACATGAGTAAAATGCAAGGTAATATGCATATAAATATACATATTTTAAACCGAATATCAACACCCCACACTTAGACTTTTGCTCTCCCTCGAGCAATGGAACTATAAACTACACCCTAACAATGTACACATCAACCATGGAGGAGCAATTCAATTTTTTTTACAACATAAACTTTACCAATGACCATGGTTGAGCAACAATTAAACTGTAGCATATGCAATCACTTACACTTCCCTTTACTTATGTCATTCTTCAAAAATATTTACAACAAAGACAACGTGCTTATAACAATCCTAGCCTAAAAAACCGACTCAATATTACAATGCACTCATGGCTTGAACACCCAACATCACAGAGCAGTCTAATAACGATACCTATTCTTCGTGAAATCGTGTTCCCTCATAACAAGAACAAGAGAGTAAGTTGAATTCACACATTTGAATCTCATGATCAAATATAATTTAAGGACTCACATTCATCAAAGAAAATCTCTCACTCTCACAAAGAAATCACATGCATGCAATGTCGCATCCCTTTTTCCCTTTTTTGATGGGGAAGTCCGGGTTTCGACATTCATGGGGGAACAACTCATTTCCTTTTGGGAATTAGGTATTTGAAGAGTCGCCACTTAACGGATTAAGGTGCGTTAGGGAACCTAGAGCGGTTAACTCATGTAGCTAGTTTGCATTACCAGAGATTAGGGTAAGGGTTCGAAATAATCTTGAGGGGAAGGTGTTAGGCACCCCTCGCGGTCCACAACGGTGGGTCCCGGCCGAACTTAAACTATGTGAATTAGTCATTTTACAAGTAAATAATTTCAACACATATTCG